AGAGAGAAAGAAAGAAAGAGAGATCCCTGCCCCTTCCTCCTCCTTCCTCTCTTCGCTCCTGGTCTCCCAGCCGGCGGCGGCAGAGGGATTTTTAACCCGGGCTACAGATGCGGGATACAGGGCTGCAGAGTGAAAGAGACACTGGTAGTCCGTAGGGAAGTTGTGGAAAGGAGGCTCGGTGCAACATTTAAACGCATTTAAAAGAGTTTTTGGAGTTTGTTTTCGGCCCCTGCGGGCGGTAAAATTGAATTTGAGGAAAAGTTTACTTTTTGGCTTACATCCGTGTGGTGGTCATGGGTTCCCAGCGCGCACTCCGGGCCGGCCGGACTGCGCTGCTCCTTGCGGGGCTGCTCGTGGCTCTGTGGCAGCGCTGCGATGCAAGTTGCCCGGAGAAAGACTTGGAGGACAGGGAAGAGGACGCCAACATAGTTTTGACCGGCACCGTGGACGAAATCATTAACATGGACCCGGTGCACAATACCTATTCTTGCAAGGTAAGTGATTTCGTGTGAAACGATCTAAGTGAAGAACTCGCAGGAGAGCATTGCTTCAAGCCAAAGACACCTGCTTCTTGCATGAAAACCACCAGCTGGGTTTATGTGCACAATTAGAAGTCACATTATCACTTAATACTTTTACCCTCGTGTAGCTGATGGAAGCCATTACCACCGAGTTTGTGTTCCAGCTCTCTCAACAGCTTGCCTGAAAACATTTTACAAACTCATTCATCCAGAAGCATTTGGCAGCGGCTGCATGGACACTGACAGAGAATCCACTTTGCCAACAGAAATAGATAGATGTTTTTTTTATTTCCACTTACCAATTACATAGCTACAAGGGAGGCCTAACCGACCATGTAATCATCCCAAACATGCTGCAGTATGAGAAGGGCCCCTCACCGGCCCCTGGCTGTATAGCTCTCAATTGATTTCTAGTTATAGATGTTGGAAACATGCGATATTATTTGCCAGTGGTTGCTGAGATGATATTCTGAATCGTGATTTATTCTGTGGTGTTGCCGACAGATACCACCACATTCATCTCAAACTAGAGATTTGTGACTTGTGGCTAACAGTGATGACTTTAGGAATAAAAAAAGCCCATAAATTGCAATGAGATTACCACAGAAACACTTAAAGCACCCAAAATAGTACAGTGACATGTAGGACGCTCTTATAACACTGTAACAGACCCATAACATCATTTTATTCCCAGTATAGAGTACTGACTAATGCTGCAAGGTGTGCCTAAAGCGATCCAAATGTGAAGTCATACTTTGCATTGTTATTAGTCACTTCTGAAACCTGTCTCTGATTAAACCACACAATAGCACATGGCAAAAACAACTTCCACTGCTCCACAAACAAGCACATTTTCAGTCAGGAAGCAGCCCTCCTCCGTCCTTATTCCACGGCCATTCATTTTGAAACTAACTTATGCACCATCATGGACTTGTGGTAGACCACTCTATAATCTGTCAAAATAAACAACTTTTGTTTGGTCAGCTCTCTTGCTGCTCTTTTACTCAGCGCCCACTTGCTTCCCGTCTCCCGGTGAATGAGTGGAGTAGATTAGAGGCACACGGCTCTCCTTCTGGAAAACAGAAACCACCACCAAGTGCTGAAATGAGACAAGACTGCTAACATTTAGCGAAGAGGGCCAGCTTTCCCATGACTGTGCATAAAGCACCCTTTGCGGCACTGCCTGTGGTGCATTATCTATGGGTGCATGCAGTGTTTTAGATCTAGAAGTTTTGAAGTGGCTGGACAAATGCTGTATCTTCTGTGTAAGATTTATTCCAGTATAAAAATCACTGTTACTACATAAAATTTCAGCGGATCCTTGGGTAGCACAGATAAAGATTTGAACAGTAAGAAACACACATCTCAATAACATGCGCTTAGGGCAGGGGTACTGAGGGAAACCCTGATCCAGATGGCCCAGAATTATAGATTAAAATATGATGCATGATGTTGGTTGTGACAAAATGCTAAAAAGCTGTCTTTCTGTTGTCGTTTGGCTAAAGGTCAGGGTTTGGCGCTACTTGAAAGGGAAGTCCAACGTCAACCGCGAAATTCTCCTTGATGGCGGCAACAAGTTGATGATCGGTGGCTTTGGCAATCCCGGGATCTGCGACAACCAGGTGGCCACGGGAGACACTCGCATATTCTTTCTCAACCCTGCCCCGCAGTCCATGGGCCCAGAACACAAGAACGAACTTATGCTCAACTCAAGTCTGATGAGGATTACCCTGCGCAACCTGGAGGATGTGGAGCACTGTGTGGAAGGTAAGCAGCCAGTTTGGATGGAATTTACAGTACTTGTTGTTGGGAGTCCAAAAAAGTAATTCTAAGAATATTAAACATGTATGAAAAAAAGTGTTGCCTGCAAGAAAGTAAGTGTAGAAATCCATGCTGTGGTTACTCACAGTGATATATAAATCACTTAAAGCGGCAAGGATTTCATGTAGCGGTGGCTGCTAAAATTACATAGCCTTGGGCTCGGAGTGTCAAAGTTTCCCAGAACTCCATAAAACAAGGACACCTGAGTCATTTTAGCAGCTTTGTTGCCATGGTGAAGCTCCAGCTTTTCCAGGCAGAGCCTTGAGGTGGGTGTGTCTGATCTGAACACCTTAAGGACACGGGTTGAGTGGTTAAGGGATGATTCCTGACCTTTGCACCTTTTGGCTGGGCTATTTTATTAAGTCAGAGGTGAAACTGCTTAACACTTACATTCACATAAACACATGATGTGGAAGCTTTACAGGTTCCCATACTTTATTTTTACAACCCACTCACAGATTCCCACCATTTTAACTTTACTGCAAAAAGAAACAAAATTACTCTTTAACTACACACAGACAAAGACTGCAACAGCAGGAGCAGGCAATTAATGGACGGATCACACTTGCCCACACATGACAACAGTTTTCAAGGGGCTTTTGAAAAGTTTAATGTGTTTCAGATAATGTTGCTGTTGATTTGCGTCCCAGGACTTCAGCACAAAAAGAGTTAATTAAATACTTCTATTCCCTCCGAGTCCTTTTTTGGTTGAGAAGTCATTTGTCAGGCTCTTATGAGACGAACCATACAGCCATGACTAATAAATCTCAGCATCCACCGTGACTGTAAGACTGTAGCAGCCTGTGCCCCCATGCCAGAGAACAGCGAGCTTGCTGCTGTTTAACTTTTACTGGTGCTTGACAATGTTGGCAGCTGTTCAAATTTTGAATCTAACACTTAGACGGGCCGGTAGCACCAGGGGGAAATGAATCAGAGCACCAATCACCTTGCTGAAGGCTTTCTGGGGCAATCACTGTTTCACAGTTGTAGGATCTATATTCTGGGTACTTTCCTCAGAACAGTTCAGGGTGGCAGGATGTTCCAATGGATGGAGCTTGTTTGCAGTGTTAAGTTGCATTTGGCACACACATAAAACTTCTTCTGTTTGTCTGTCCAGGCACGAAACACTGCACTGCTAACCTTTTTATTCAGCCCCCTTTTCTTCTTTTTGGACTCCTGGTGTGGAGAGGGGAGTTTCTTGGCTCTGACAAACTGCCTAGAATGTGCCCTTTTTGTTTCAAAGCTTTGTATTTGAAGAGGGTTTACTTCACATAACCTGATTTTCTCATATCACCTGACAGTCGAAGGAATAGCGGTAACAAAATACTTCAAAAAGTCATCAGGCAAAAGTTAGACATCTAAGACACCTAGACAGACAACTGAACATTTTCCTAGGAAGGCTTTGGAGCTTCCTCTGCACTGACCATCTGATAAGTAATATCCTGGGACAATTGTTTTTTGTGGAGTGAAATTGGTCCCAATAATTAGCTGGCATACCTCCATCTGTAGAGAATGAGCTTTGAGGCATGTTCTAGTGCAGAGTTTTAATTAAGAGAGTCAAGTCAGATCCCATCCGTTCTGTGCAACCACTACCTCCGGAGACTGGGTTGTCAGTGCAGCGGGACAAGACTCTACCTGCCGCAGTACTCATTGTACCCTCCTCTGCTTTCTCCTCATTCTTGACATTTTCGATAGCTAGGATAGACTCAGGAATGCCTGGCAGAGAGCTTGGTGGGGAGGCGCGTTGTCTGAGGTGGAAGAAAAAAGGCTTTGTGTGAGCTCGTTGCCACCAAGAGTTTTGAGAGGGACACAGACACGAAGGAAAATAAGATGAGTGATGCAGAATGAAGGAAAAACAGAGGATTTTTTTGTACATGTGAAGACGTGAAGGATGTTGTGTTTGCTGTGGCATATTTGTTGAAGTTTGGATCAGTGCTGTGTTAACATAGTGTGTTTCACGCTCTTTCTATCCCTGTGCTCTTCCTACTGGGCGGTGGCACTTCGGGCCACTCAGTTTATGTGTGCAATCACTTGGCTATAGGCTTTCATCTGCCACAGAGCGGCACTCCCCAGAGGAGTGTTTATAAGATCTCAGTAAACACTTGCAGTGCTGACCAGATCTTAAAATGTTGTACGCCATATTTACGGTTCAAAACAAGCCTCCTTTTTTTGTTCCCTCATGCCTTATATTTACGTACATACAGGTGTAACTTATAGTAAGTAACTTAAGGAGTTTCTGTGGTTGAAGTGAGAAGTGGAAATTGCTAAAGAAGTCCGCTCAAAATGTTAAGCAGGGGGCCTTTGGCACCGAATCTCTTGCTTTGGTCCTCTACGTACCATTAAGTGAAATGTTACCGTAGTCAATTGTGCTGTGCTGAGAGTTGACAGATAACATGTCAGAACTAGACAGTGACATTTGCTGTGTCTTTGGAAACAAAAATGAATTTATGGTTTCGTAAAAGTAAATGAAGGGGACAATTTAAGGCTCAACAGAACACCCTGTCCTCCAGATTTCTTAAGGATGTAAGAAGATACAAGTATGTGCTGTGTTTATTATCATTTCCGTCGCTTTTTCCCAATGCTGTGTTAATGACAACAAGGGGAGAAGGCGGGGGTGTTGTGGGGTTTAGAAGAGAGGAAGCCCTCTTGATGGAGAAGTGTTGAGCGTACAGGGAGATCTTATCTGTCTTGCTCTGTTTATCAGCTGCTTTTGTTTCAGCTCTTGATGACTTGATGCCAGTCTTTCCCTCAAGGCCCCCGCGAAGAACAGCAACAAAGAGCTGTTTCTTCCTTCTGTCTTGATCTCTTCCTCTCCTCCCCTTTTTTTCATCCATCTCTTTTTAGAAGAGGAGAGATGAGCCAGTCAGAAGTCAGTGCAGAGTCATGCAACAGCTGCATCGAAGATCATTTCTTTGTCCCTTTGTGCTGCATCTATTTAAATATGCAATGCTGAGTGCAGCTAGTGTGCCTCACTGGTTGGACAATCAAAAGTCCTTGTCGGATGTTAATGAGCTGCATTTTACTGCTCAACATACCACTGGCTGTTTATGATCTGTGTGTACAGCAGTCCAGAGGCTCACTGGTAATGGGGTTAGCCAGGCTTGCTGAGAACATGATGGGGGTCCTGATTTGTCAGCAGGTGGTCTTGCTTAATGATGGGCGAGCAGACAGTCCTGTGGAATGCTCCTCGGGGTGGGTGGGATGTGGGATGACTGTTCGAGCCCACCCCGCCTTCTCCTTCAGTGCTCTTTCAGTGAATGTGACTAGGCCCCACGGAAAACTTTGAGCTTTTTTCCCACTGTTTGTGCAAGGAGGAGGCCCGGAATCGGCTGGAATTCCTAACCTGCACAAGCTCCTACCTGGCTGCCTCCTCCCTCCTCTCCTTCGTGATATGTGAGGAGATAATGATAGAATGATAAGGGCAAAATGGAGAGGAGTTTTTAGTCGTGGTGTCTGCTTGCAATTTTTCACAACATTAATGCCAATCACCCAGGGCAGTTTACTCCCTCGTTTCAAGAACCATTAAAGATATACTTAAAAATGCAGGGGTCACTTCACAGCTACAGTTAATCAGTGACTCAAAGCCCTGGAAGACACTCATGGAGAGTATGTTGACATGCAAGGTTTACTCCCTTTTGAGGTGGATATCTCAGTTGAGCTCAGTTGTGTCTCATGCTACAATATGATGGTAGCCTCTCTCATTATGCCTACCTGATGTAGTGCCTCTGCCTTTTTCCCCTGAAGATAATTTTTATATATAAGTGTAATAATTCCTTCAGAGTTTAATGGAAGGAGTCTTTATTTCAGACAAGGTGGTCCACCTCCGCTATGAAACACTCTGGGAAATCTTGCTGCAAGTTTTCTGCCCTATAATTTAAATATCAGGCTCAACTACCACCTGCTCATGTTTTAATCTTACCAAGAAATTCTGGAGACAGATTACAGCATCACCACTGCACAGTGAAACATGACAACCCACCATATATTTGACTTTCCCAGGTATGAAAACATATGGCTGGTGGGTAATTCCAAAGGGGAGATGGAGTTTATTTGATTGTGGCTCTGGAAAGTGTGTGAGAACACTACGCAGCCGCACCCAGGTGACTGAACTAAAGCACCAGAGTCTTTATCCAGTCCATGTCTACACAAGCAGCCTTTTGTCTTTAGGGAGTCATGGGAAGTCAAGAAGACTGACTTTAAGGATTGGATTTTTCTCAGGGTCCTTGAATGGATTAGCTATAGTCTAAGAGTGAGAGTTCATTTTCTTGCTGTAGAGCTTTTCTACAAAGGTGTACCCTTGGTAAGTCTGCGTACCCTGTGTGGCTTATGTCAAAAGATTTATCCAGTGAAGTGAACAGAATTAGACAAATAGAAAGGCTTGATGGAAGGCTTTGATGAAAAAAGCAACAAAGGCTTGATGGGAGAAACAAGACCATTAGACCTGTTTGCCAGCTAGCCCAGAGTCTCCAGAGTTATTGCACATTTTAGATTTTAATTAAAAATGCGAGAGCGGAGAGCCTGCTTGGCATAGCGATAAAGGACTCCGAAATGAAAAAGCCATGAAAGATGGAAGAGAGCAAAGGAGGAACGGACCACTTAACCGCAGTCTGTTCACCTTGGCTTGTATCCCGGCTCAAATCAGGAGTGTATCACTGTCTTGCTGATAAGGATCATAGATGGTATTGATTGAAACGCAAAAACACCTACATGTAGTGACATGCTTGTCACTTCAGTAAGATGTTAACATGCCCGTAGTGCACACACAGAAATACTGTGCAACATCAAGCCTGTCCAAATACACTGTATATCCTGTAAAAAAGTTTTAATGACACTTTTTTCCTGCTGTGGTTTGAAGGAGGTCCGAGTTCTAAAGTTAGTAGGTGTCAAAGTCCCAGTTAAGCTCTTCTTTAGTTCAGGAACAGGAAAGTGGAACTGACCTGGGAGGC